CCGGGGGTCCCTGCCCCGCCCGCCCCCCACCCCCACCCCGGGCGGCCAGGTCGGAGCGCTCCGCGCGTCTACCCGCTGCAGGCGCGCGCGCCGGGCCACCAGGTCCCCGCGCACACGCACCGTCCAGGCCACGCTCCGGCCCGAGGAGCCTGGGGGGACCCAGTGCACCGCTCGCAGCTTCTCCTTCCCGTCCCCGCGGGTCCCTGCAGCGAGGACGCAGCGGCGAAAGGCTGCTGGCTCCGCGGGGTGATAAAAACCCAAATCTGCGAAGCCATCGCGCGCGCTCGTGCGCGCGCGCACATACATACACACACATACACACTCACACACTCACACACACGCGCGCGCGCGCCCTCCCCCCTCTCCCCTCCCCCGCTGCCCAAAGGTGTCTCAGAGGAAAAGGCCTGGGGTCCACGCTCGCTTTTTTCCTCTCCCCTCCCCAATGCGAGGTCCAGCTTTTACTGCATTCCGCTTAACCGAATAACCATGCTAATTAAGCGAGTAATTTTATTGATTGTAACTCAAGAGTTCTTTTTATAACCTTCCTTTTCTTCCCTCTCCCATCCCCCCATGCATCTTTCGGTCCATTCTTTTGAACTCACCGCCCCCCACCCCCAGGCCCCAGTGGGACTAGGCCCCCAGCCCGCAACACTAAGCCTGGACCCCAGTCCAACTCCCCGGAGACTCTGGTGTCTGCATCGGCTGCCAGTGTCACCTGGGCCACCACGCCGCAGTGCCCGGCCTGCTGTCCCCGAGCCTTGAGCTTCCTGGCGAGGTTGGAACAATCACCCCGCCCCCAATCAAATTCGCCCGGGATCATCCCCTGCAGATTGAGAGGCGGGGGTGTGGGGGGGGTGCTTTGAGAGTCAGAAATTGTTCTCTCACAACGCCCCCAATCCGCAACCGGGTTTCTCCCTTTAGCGCCTGCCCCGGGTCGCCAAGCCGGGTCCAGTCTCCGCGCGGCCCAGCGGCTAGCGGACTCCGAGTCTGAGGAGCCCGGCTCGGCCTTCGGAGAGTCGACTGGGCCCAGTGTAACCTTCGCTCCCACCCAGGTCCCAACAGACCCCGGGCCTCTGTTATTCACCTCCACTTCCCCGCAGGGCCTCATAAAAATGACCCACCTCCCTTCTCTTCCACTCGCTCCAACGCGGAGAGTCCACTCCCAGCCTAGACTGGGGACAATTTCAGACGCTGAAAGCGGAGCACACTGCATGACTGTACGCCCGCGCGGACCTCTCTCATTTTGCATATTTCTCCTCATTTTCCTAAATCTGCATTGTTTTAATGTTTGATATCACCTCCAAAAAAAGGGAGGTGGAAAGGCCTAACAGTCTTAATTATTAACTTTACAGAAAAACTTGATTGTTTTTGCCGTCCCACCGTGACAACAAAGCGATTAAGATGTTTTCCATTTCGTGAATACCATTTTAAATTGCGATATTTAATGCTACCAGCTCTACAACGTCTTATTTGCAGACTATGTTGTGTTTGATTTAACCTATAATCGAAAATATAATGTATTAAGAGAATATATATTTGCTCTGCTGATAAGCTTTCTTAATATTTATTCGGAGAGCTTTTGCATTGTAAATAAATGGGCCCTACACAAAGACTTCTCTTTGTCTCGCAACTTCATACAAAGAGATTTGGGGCTCCCTCCTCTCTGGGGATCGCCGGCTCTCTCCCCCGGTCTAACAAATAACTCGGCTCGCAGCCGTTCGGGCCTGTACTGTGCGCGCCAGGCCGCCGGGGCCGCGGCGAGGCGGGAGCCTGGGGGCGCGGGGCGGGACAAAGGAAAAGGCGGCGAGGGAGGTCGGGAACCTGCGGTTCCAAAGGCGCCGAGGGCCGGGGGCTGCGTGCGCGGGGGTCGTGTGCGCCACGTTTTTGTTTGGTGAGGTTTCTTGTTTCCAATAAGAAATTTTAAAACTGTCCAGAGAGCGCAGCTGCTTGGATTCTCGGGACGCGGGCTTGGCTGCCCGCAGCGACTTTAATCTTCTACCTCCTGCGGGCGGGTCTCGGGCTCCACTCATCCTTCCTCGCCACTCCACTAGAGTTCTACGCAAACGGGCTGGATTATTGTCGCCCCTCTGCGCCGCTGCGATTGTTACTGGTTGGAGGGGGCTTTTCTTTGTGTTCTTTGCTCCCGGGGAGAGGCTGCGCTGCGCTGCGCCTCGCGGCCCGCCAGCGCGCGGCTCCCGAGGCCTGCGGAACCTCACCCCGGCAGGGAGCGGGACAAGGACGCGCGGCCGCGGAGGCCTGGGAGGGTAGCCCCGGAGTCCAGGCGCCGCCAGCCGCGGGTCTCAGGCTCGGAGCCCCACCCTCCAGCCCGAGCTCCAGGAGAGGCCGCAGCAGAGGACAGCGCCGCAGTCCCGGGTCGGGCAGGTCTAAGGGAGGAAGTGGAGCGCAGGCGGCGGCGGGCCGGGAGCCTGCGCCGCCGAAGAGTCGCTGACTAGGGCATTTTGTAAAGAACCGAACCTCGGAACCTGGGCTCCTCCTCGGGGTGGCGGGGCGCGGTTCCTAGAGCCGCCCGTCTCCTCTTCGGGCGGCTCGCGTGCTCCAGGATGTGGGAACCCTCAGTTTTGCTTTGGTTTTAACTTATACACCTCAAAACCCGCCCTCGCTTCGGCCGCCCGCCGTGGACGAGGACAGAATCCCTTCCAGGCCGCCTCTCCCAGCACCATCGACGCGCGCGCGGACGCCGCGGGGCCCGCAGGCTGGGTTGGGGCCAGGCGCATACCCGAGGCGGGTTGCTAGCGCGCTGCGGAAGAACCCGCTCCCTGCGAAAAGCCCCCCCCCCCCAACCACTTCCCGAGAGAGGACCGAGGGCAGGGGACGCGTCGGGCCCCGGCGCCCCGGGGCACACCCGCCGGCAGACCCCGCCTTGCGAGCCGTGGCCCGAGCCCCGCGCGCTGCCCCGAAAGCCCAATGTGGAAACGCCCCGCTGCGCTGGCCTCGCTCGGCCCCCTCCTCCGTCCGCACCCCCCCACACACACACACCCTCAGAAAAATAATTCCGAAATGAATTCGGCTCTGAAAAGCGAAACCCAAAAAAAATCGCCGTTACCCTTCCCGCCAGGGCCTCTCGCCCCGCACCCAGCCGACGCCGGAAAGCCCCTCGGGTCAGCGGCGGGGGCCGGTTCCCTGCGCCGCAGAGCGACCGGGCGGGGCGACCCGGACAGCTCCGGGGAGGGGAGCAGGGTGGGGGGGCAAACAATCGGGGTTCGTTCATAGTGCCACCGGAACCAGCGCGCGTTGGTGGCGTCCAAGACCTCGCCGATTGTCATCCCGCAGCCGCCCGCGCAGCTCGCACCGGACGCAGCCTGACGCTCCCTGTCCTGTCGCGATTATTTATTTTTAATGCTGGGTGTCGATAGAGACAACAAGCGCTCAGAGCAAAGCAAGGACGCATTACGGGGGGAATTTTAAACCGATCGATAAGATTTTTCAGAGGAAAAAAAATCGCTGTTATATATAGTCCATCTTAAAAAAAAAACACCTCCTCGACATTATAACGGATTTTTAAAAGGGAAGATATATACTTCTTAACATCACAACCCTGATTTTCTCTTGCTTAAAAAAAATGTAAATCCCCAAAGCGAAAATAAAAATAGAATAAAAATACAAAAACAAAAAATGAAAGCAATTTCAGTTACTTACTGGAGGCTGTTTCCTGGATACAATTGAATGCAATACAATTAAACCAGTAAATGTGACTTTGTTTTGTATTCCTATTGGTATTTCAATGTGCTGACTGTTGCACTGTAAATGCACCGCTTCCACAACAACGACTCTAGCGAGCCCATCCAGAGCGGCTCTCAAACCTGCAGCCCGGCGCGGCGAGCCACGGGCCCTGCATACTAATAAGCTCGTGCCACTCAGCCCGGAGCAGCCCGCGCGCTGATTGGTCTCTCGGCCCTCCGCGACCGGGAGCTCGTGCCACTCATTCGGCGTAAACAGGCCTCCCAATAGGCTGGAGCCGGGCCAGGGAGCTGCCAATCAGGGAGCAGCAGGGCTACTACCGAGCCCGAAGGCGCCTAATTCAAGCCCGGCGACTGCGCAGCTTCTCTGCGCAGATCGTTGCTGCTGAATGGGAATGTAGTGGCGTAGGGCGGGAGAGGGAACCGGACGAGTGGGAACGCGTGTCCGCACGGAGGGGGAGGCTTTTTTTTTTTTTTTTTAATCCAGCAGGTCTACGTTTGGCTTCTGGTACACAGAGGCCAGGAGAAGAAACAGCAACACCCGTTAAAGCAGATGCTTTTTTTATACACGGAATCAGTGGCAGGTGGCTGGACCAGGGCACAGGTAGGCCCGAGCTCCAAGCACAGAGGCCTCCTTGGGTTGCCCGACCCTTCCACCACTCTGAGGCCTCCACCAGCTCGGATCGAGCTCAGAAATGCCCGCACTCCCGCGGCCTGGGGAACACGGGCTCCAGAGGCGCCTGCTTGGTCCATTCTTCTCCCTGCCCCGGGATCAGGCCGCAGGGAGAGGGTCCTGCGTCTTTGGCCATCTATCTTTCAGACCTTCAATTTTTCTCTCTCGGCTACTATTTGCAACGGAGCACCGATCAAAATGAAAATCAGGATTTATGGCCAATACAAAGATTGTCCTTTTTTCACCTGCAACTAGATTTTAAAAATATGTTCACCTTGATATGCACAATAGGAAAATCGTGCATAGTATTTCTCAATGCCACTCTCCTGCAAATCCGCTAAATTCTCGCCCCAATTAAAAAAAGCCACTGAACAATTATCTTCGTCGTAATCATATGCAAGCCATTTTAAAAAATATTCTCCAAATAAATATTTCTTAGAGAATTTGGTTTCCCAACAAAATGCTATTTATTCTCAGGAGTCAAGGTGATGTTTGAGTGGCGATGGATACATTATTTTTGCTCCTCTTTCTCCACGTGAACCTCTGCCTTCCCCTCTGGGGGACAAAAAAAAAAGCATATTTAAACTAGATGCCAACTAACGCAGGCACAAGCGTTAGAAATTCTCCAATTCATTCTGGTAGGGACACGAAGGGGTTAAGCCAGAGGCCTTCTGTTGTCTTCTTCCTTCCCCCGCTCCCCCGCCCGCTCCCTCGGGACCGCCGGGATTGGTTGGCACTCAGCCAGCAGGCTGTCAATCACCGAGTGTAAACAAGGCGCTGATTGGCTGTTGTCCAGTCCGCACAGGGCCTCCTGAAAAAAGCAATTACTGGCTCCGCGGTTTCAAGGCGGCCCAAGGCCGCTTGATGAAAGGAGATAAGCTGGGGACCGTTTCCAGGACCCCCGCGGGCCGACCCCGGCAGCCCGGGAGCCGAGGTGCGGCGGAGAGCCCGCGGATCAAAGGAATCCGGAGAGAAAGGGGAAGCCGGCGCACTGCCCCGGCCTGCCTTCGCCCGCGGGCATCGCTGACCTGGGTTGGGGGCTTGGGCCACGGGTGGGGGCTCCGGGATTGGGCGCCCGCTTCGGGCAGCGCAGCCAGCGGGGCAGCTCCGGAGAGCCCGGTGCTGGCAGGTAAGCGCCCGGGCTCCGCGGGCAGGCCGGGGCTCAGGACAGGGCGTGCGGGCCCGAATCCCGGCTCCGGCGACGCCCCAATCCGGTGGTGTGCCCCACCCCCGGGGTCCCGAGCCCCTAGCCAGTCCCGAGACGGGCGCCTTCCAAAGCTACCCCGGGCCAGGCTTGCGGCGGCCGCGGAAGGAGAGGCGGCACACATAAATCCATAAAACGCCCGGAGATCCGATTAGCAAGCGGCTATTCATTAGGCCGGGGGCAATTGAATTAGGTCCTGGGTGCGGGCCCGGGGGTGGGGGAGCCGGCGCGGGGGTGTCTGGCGCGGACTACCGGGCTCCAGCCCTGGCTTCCGGAGAGGGACATCGCAGCGGCGGCTCCGGCGTGCGAGCGTTGGGCGGACGGGGTTCCTCCGGGTCCCGACCTCGCGGCGACGTGCGAAACCCGTCCGCTTCCCACGCACACCGTCGAAAGCCAGCCCGAGGCCGGCTCGGCTGCAGAGAAATTGCGCCCACGGAGGGCTGTGTGGCGGGGGTGGCCGGAGCTCAGGCCGGGTTCCGCTCGCCGCGCCGTCCCGGAGCGGGCGGGCTCACGCTGCTCCCCCGGCTCCGGTGGCCTGGCGCGCTGAGCCTGTTCGGTCTGAGCGCCCCGGGGTGCCGCCGCCTTCCCGCAGTCTCCGGGGCCTGGCCCCCGGCAGGGCGCCTCTCGCTGGCCCTGCAGTTCCTACTCTTTTAGAAGTCTCCATTACTGACTTTCTCCGGTAATCTTGTTTTCGGACCAGGGACCTTTTCTTTTTTTTTTTTAACCTAAGATTAAGTTTAAAGTTCCCTTTGAAATTTTTAAAAACATAAGAAAGGAGATTATAAGACAACAATTCTCCATCCGAGAGATGGAACACCTTAGCGACCAGTGGTGTCCCTGGAGTTGCTCCGAGCAACCGGAGCCTGCTCCGCGGCGACCCCGCTGTCCTTTGCTTGAGCTGGCACCGGGTTCCAACCTCGGACCGCCAAGTGGGGGAGGGGAGGGGCCTCCATCTTCTCCAGCCCCCAGTCTCCTCCAGAGTGTGTGTGTGTGGTGGGGTGCCGGCTGGTAAGACACCGCCCCTCCCCACCCCCAACGCCAGGCTCCCAAATCCGGACCCCAGCTCCTGCGGGTGGAAGATTGAGGTTCCTGGAGCCCGGCTGGTGGGCCCCACACCCCAGCCGCTGGAGATAGGACGGCGCAGGGTCTGGGTCTGGGGCCTCCCTCTCCTCTGCAGGCTGGCTCTGATCCTTGCAGCCTGCCACCGCCAGATTCCTGATTTAGGGGGTGACAACTGGCTTTCAGAACCCTTGAGGGCTGTCGCCTGCTTCTGTCTCGCATCCCGAGAGAAGCTGCCCGCGTGGGGTGGGCCTGGCGGCCTTGGGTGTGCCTGGGCCACGCGCAGCTCCCTGCCCGTCTCGCTCCCCCTTCTCCCCCCAGTGTCACTTAAAACAAATCTAGTGGCCTTTTTTTTGTTGTTGTTCAATAATGTTTCAAAACAGTTGTTACAGCAATAGCTGCAGACGGGCCCGCTGGATGCGGCAGGGGCTGGCAGCTGCCCAGCGCGGGCGCAGGGCCGCTCAGCAGCTCCCGCGGTACCAAAATAAGCTCCCGTGTTCCCCTCGGAAGACGCGACCCAGGCTCCGGCGGGCCGGGGCATGTTTGGTTGGGCGCGCTATCAGCTCTGAGGGAAACCTCCCTGTTTCCTTTTTTACTCTCCCTGCTGTCCAGAGCTAACAAATGTTTTTAATTTTTGAGAAACATGGTGTGGGGATCTGCAGACTCCCTTTCAACTGGGAAGGGAGAGACAGAGAGGAGACAGGAAAAGGGGACAGTAACATGGGTCAGGGCTGAGCCAGCCACCAGCTCTGCAATCACCTGCAGTTTCACAAATGAATGGGCTCCCTCCGGCCAGCCCACACGCCCTGCCCCAGCCTGGAGCACAGCCAGGGGCCACGGAGAAGTCCCATTACGCCCTCCTTAGCAGGGGCACAGGCCTTCCACAACCTCACACACTCCACTCCCAGCTCGCCCTCTGGTCTGGGGAGAAGATACATGGATGTCCAGCTGTACCCTGACACCTGGACATGCACGCTGCACTCGTGCACACACATGCAGAAACTCACAGGCACACACTTCCACATCACGCACAGTGCGTGTTTTACGGTACACTCCACCAGTGTTCTGCACATACCCTAGGTGCTCCTGTGGCCCCAGAACCTCTCCCCACCCCTGGAGCCCCCAGCCCTTGCTCACACACTGGGTCCTGAGCATGGCAGCATACTAGGTCTCCTGGCTCCTGAAAGACCCAGCTCCCACTTTGTCTGAAATCATGAAATAATCATTTTTTAACACGGGGTAGGGGTGTCAGGCGAGTTACATAAAATCACAAATTAGTCACTGCTCTAAATGAATGCATCATTGGGCCAGAGAGCAGCAGAGCTGCGCCTGGCGTCGGTGCCTCTCCATTGTTCCCTGGGCCATTAGTCAAAGGACAAATTAGAAACAATTTCTTGACAAAAATTGACTCTTAATTCTTCCCACCAGAGGTGCAGGGGGCCAGATCCAGAGGCCAGGGCCAGGGCACAGGCAGGCCCGTCTGGAGGGGGCCCTGCACTGGCGGGTACAGTGCAGGAGGGTGAAGAGAGGTAGCCTGGGGACTTAGTGGGGGGCAGAAGTAGTTTACAGTACCGCCCCCCCAACAGGAGGACAGTATTACCTCACCTCCATCAGGAACATGAACATGGCTGCCCACAGCCCACTGGGGTTTCCAGGGACAGTGGGGGGAGGGGGGGAATGGGACACACCGGCTGCAGTTTGCATCCTTCCTTTAAAAAAAAAAAAACAAAACGTTCCCAGAAGCACCCTGGCTGGAGGGGCTTGGACCCCAGCAACAATCCTGCCTCCAGGAAGCAGGACTGGGCCCCCCACCCATCCCCCTTTAAGAGGTCTTCCACCATTAGATGTAGAAATGGTTATTTTCATCAGAGCCTTTCGTGGGTGTACTGGAGGGGGCAGGGGTGTTAGGGGTGGGGGGAGGTCTGAGTGTGCCAGACCCAGCCCACAACGAGGTGCTGCCTAGAATTTGTGCCTAGCCTGGGGGGTGGCCTTCTCTTTACCAGGTCTCCTGTCTTTGTGGAACTTGAGCTTTGTTGGGGTAGGTCTATTTTGGAGGGGAGAGGAAGGTGAAGATATCCCAGACCCTTCCTCAAAGGCAAGGGGACTGCCCCCACTGAAAACAAAGCCTCCAGTCACAGCCCCTTCATTATCTTGCTGGACCCAGAGGGCCAGGTGGCAGGGGAGGGGGCCCCTGTGAGGCCCAGGGTGGGGGAGGCAGCCAACAGAGGAAGAAGGGTTGTCAGGAGCCAGGCCAGGTGGGGAGGGTCCTCTGGTCACACCTCCCCAGGGAGGCCTTCCTCCAGCGTCACCCAGGCCCTGTGCATTGGGCTGAATCCCTCCCCAGAAGGTCCCAGCTCGGGCCTGAGGAAGAGGCCTGCATGTGTTAGCCCAGCTGCTTTCTGAGCAGGCCACAGACAGGCTCCAAGACAGACTTGGGGATGTGGGGATGTGGCTGTGAGTTTTAGAAGGGGAGAAAGGCTTTGAAGTCAGAAGAACAGCAGCCCCCTCCCACCTGCCGGAGGGGGGCTTTAGTGCTGTTGTTGCTGGTTCCTCCAACCAGGTCTGGAGGCTGCCCAGCCCCCACGGCTCAGGGAAGGTGCTTGTTAAACACGGAACAGTAATTTGAGGCTAAATATAACGCAGTGTGTTCATAGGGAAAGTATAATTCAGGTGCTGGTTGTGTGAGGTTATCAGCCAGGAGACCCATCTGGGTTAAATTGATGTGATTTTCATAAACGGGCAGGAATGTCCCATTGCCAGGCTTCTCCCTGATGTTTTATTAGTGACAGTGTGATTGTTATTACTGTTAAAGAGGGGAATGGGGGTGGGAATATGCCTGGGACCCCCCAGAGGTGAGGGGAGCTTCCCCATTGGCCCTTCCCAATCCCTACTGTCCAGCCCCCTCCAGTCTCCTGGTGGCTTTCTCCTCTAGGCTGGAGGAAGGCAGGACCCTCAGGGAAGCCTGGAAAGGAATCAACAGTGCCTTCGAGGCTGTCCTCTCCAAAGGCGGGTCCTGCTGCTTCTCCACAGGAAGCATCCTGCCCAGTCGGGGAGGTGGAGGGAAGCCGGTTCTCTGGGGCCCTATACTCACCTTCTAAAGCAGAAATTGGGGGTGGGGACACACTACTGGGGTCTCCTTGCAGGAGGCTGACCCAAACTGGGCCCTCTGTCTTCCTGCCTGTGAGGAAGGACCCTACTGATGGCAGGAGCCCAGACCCCTCCTATGGAATGGGGGCCGGATGGCTTAGTGGCTGGAGCTACCTACTCTGCTTGGGGACAAACGCTCTGGTAGGGCCTGATGAAGGGAGGTGACTCTGCTTCCAGCCGAACCCTCCCCTCTCGCCCCCCAACCCGATCCTGCCTGTCTGCCCTCTCTGGAAGGACACCTGCCTCCCGCAGACCAGTCTCAGCCCAGCCCAGCCGGAGAAAGTGCCGAATAAGCATTTGCTGCAGGCTGCTCTTCACGGCTGTGTTTGGGTGTGTTTACACGTGTCACTGTCAGGGTATGTCTGGATGGGGCCTCCAGGGGCCAGACTTCTCAGGCCTGGTCTCACACTGGGGGAGGGCTCTGGGAGAGGGGTGCAGGCTGAGTGTCAGGGTCTCCTCTGATGAAACCCAGCCTGCCCAGGCAGAGCTGCAGAAGGAAAGCCAGGCCAGGAACAGAACCTAAAAAACAAGGACTGGGACCTGGCATGCCCGTCGGCAGGGGCCACAGCTCATCAGCCCCCACCACACAGGCCCCACAAGGCTCCTCGGAGCACCAATTACAGAACTCAGGCAGCAGGAGGGCTGCACCTGCCCCTTCTACCCCCCCCCCCCCTCCAGGGTGGGCAGGAACCTGGCAGCCAGCATCCTGTTGGATTTCCTCACGTTCCCAGACTTGGAAAAGCCCCAGCCCCTGCCGGCCTGCTCCTCCCACCTCTGCCCCAGCAGAGGGCCCTAGAGGGTAAGGTGCTGCCCATTCAGACTGGCTTCTGACATACAAAAAACCGGAGGCCTGAGCGGCACACACCAGACCCTCCTCTTCCTGCTGTAAAGTTGCTGCTTTCAAGCTCCCCACTCACTTCCCAGACCCAGCTCTCCTACCCCACCCCCAAAAACCTCTGGGCAGAGCCACAACCCGCCCTAGCCTGCAGCAACCTAGAACTTTCCTTTCGAGTCATGGCCAAGGCTGGAAACTCCCTCCCCAGCCAGCCTAGGGAAGAAATCAGGGCTGGGAAGGCTCCGGACATGTTTTGTTCAGCTCCCTCTTATTTCTGAGGGGTTTGAGTCCTTGGCCTGCTTACCTGCGGCATATATAGACCAAAAATAAATTATTCCCATAAAAATCCCCAAAGAGCAGCTGGGCCTGCTGCAAAGCTCTTTCCTGCCAGTGTGGAGACAGGCAGCAGGGCTGGGGCTGGGGCTGGCGCAGCCACGCGGCTACTCTCCGGCCTGCCTGTGCACTGCCAGTCTCTTTTGTTAACAGGACAGTTGATTGTTTAATTAAAAATCATTCAGTAGGTCCATTTTTTTCTGATCTGCACAAATACATATTCCCAAGCCCCCCTCAATTCATGACGCCAACTGGGGTGGAGTGGAGTGGAGTGGGTGTTGCAGGAAAAGTGTCCCACAGGGAGACTCCCGGAAAACTCCCTCTTCCAAAGGCCCAAACAAGGAAGGCCCGAGGAGCCCGCCTTAGGGTCAGCTCCCAGCGGCCACTTGGAGCACATTTTTCTGAGCCAGGTCTCTAGCCAGGGCTGGGCCCAAGTCCCTTTCGATATGCAAACTCCAGCCCGGCCTGCGCCTGCCTGCTCCACCCGAGGAAAGCGCAGACACAAACGGGGCTTTTCTTTCTACCTGAACTGATTTTGTTTGGTTTGTATTTTTTAATAGCAGGCATTTGCGATGCAAAAAGCCTCCCGAGGTGGGTGGGGACAAACCAAAGTCCCTACATCGAGCCAGAAACAAAAGCCCTTTGGAAACTGAGCCGAAGGGCAGGCGGCAGGGCGCGCCTCCCGGACCCGCGTCGGGAGAAGTGGCGCGCTGCACCTACCGCGCGGCGGCTCCGCGGCGGCTGGGCTCCGGTTCCGGCGGCGGGCGTCCGGGAGCGGCTGTCGCGACCTGCTCGCCGGAGTCCGCCTCGCGCCCTAGAACGGGGAGGCGGCTGGAGGCGCCATAATCGCACATTTATGGCCTGGGTGACGTGCTTCCCTCTGCCACAATGGGGCCCGGTGACATTAAACAGAAAACTGATGAGAGAGGAGCGAAATCTAATCTTCCCTCTGCGCGCTTAGCGGGGAGGAGGCTGGGGGACGGGAGGCAGAGTGGTCGCCACGAGTTGGTGCTTTCGGGGCCCCGCGCCAGATGCTTCCTCCCGAATTCGGGCTCCTGGACCGCGGGGCCGGGGAGGAACCGAGACTCGAGCCCCACCCTCCGCAGCCCGCGGACTCGCCAGCATTTCGGGCGGAATTTCGGCTCCTTTACGCACGCCCCGGCGCCGGGCGGAGCTGGGACCGAGCACCCCAGTCTCACCCGTTCCGAGGTCCCGGGACCCGCATGGGGATCCCGACGTGCCCCTCGCCCCTGCTCGGCTCCCCAACTCTGGGGGGGGCCCTCATCAGCGCAGAGCTCCCCGCCCCCACTGCCTGGAGCCCGCGCCTGGGTCCGACCGGAAGACACCGGCTGCCCAGCCCCCACCGAGAGCAAGTGACCACGCGGGCCGCACCCGGGATGGCTGCCCCGCGGCGCTTCGCTGGCCCGAGCGCCCGCTCTCCTCCTCCCGCGGCGCGGCTCCCCCGGGGCGCGCTCGGCGCCTCCTGGCACCGACCCCGCCGCGCCGCGCCCTTAAAGGCGCCACCCGCCCTGCTGGCCTTTGTCCGTGCCGCGGTGAAGGTCATGCGGGGGAGGCGGGGGTGGCAGCGGCCAGGCCCCGCGCGGAGCGCCTTCCCCCCACCCCCTCATCTACCCCCGGGACAAAATTCCGAGGCGGCCAACCCCGTCCAGGCCTCCGGTAGGGAGGAAGCCCTGGCCCAGCAGCCATCCGCCACTTGCTTCCTGAGACCGCCAGGTTCTAGCAAGATACACTGTCGTGGCACAGCTGGGGCCTAGGACCCGGCTTTCAACAAGTGGAGTGAGGGGGATGCTTCTCAGAGAGAATGAATGAGGGAGCCCCAGTGGGGGCTGCTTGGAGAAAGGAAGGGCCACGTGCTCACAACACCCCCCCATCGACCAACCTGCTTCGCTCGGCCCATGAGAGGCAGTGCAGGGGACGGACAGAGCCCTGGTTGGGGGCCCAGACTGAGATGCAGAGGGCAAGGCTTTGGGAGACCCGGCTGGTCCACCTCTCTGGCCTAGATGACAACATGGGCATCTGGGTGCCAGATGCTGTCCTAGACACTCATTTAATCCTCTGCACACACAGTCTGGGACACAGATGTCATGATGATCATGCCCATTTTAGAGATGAGCAAACTAAGATTGATACAGTAACTCACCTGCATTCTCACCTAAGAACTATGTACCTGGGCCCCTGATTTTTTTGCAAAACCAGGACACGGATTCGCTGGCCTTTGGGTCCCTAAAAGGCCCAACACTCATGGATGGGGCACACTTGTGTCCTGACTTCCACAAGAGCAGGAAAATGTGAGCTTCATGACCACAGTTGGTCGCTTTGGGCCACAGCCCCGGCAGGAAGATGCCACCAGGACCACCTCTGCCTGGGAAGCCGCCTCCACGGGCTCTGTTGGGCCAGCCTGTTTCCCGAGTCACTGGGCTGAAGGCGCGAGGCAGGTCACCATCTCTGCAGCTGGAAGAGCTGCTAATGTATGACAGGAATCTGGAAGCCAGATTCCAAAGGTCATATTGGACTGAAACCAACAAGATTACGTGTAACAGGCTGGATGTGGACCTACACTTTTAGGTTCAAAAATCAGTTGTAAAAATGCAGGCAGCTTCCCACTGAAGACATGATGAGCTGACTTGCAGCTGTCTGTACCGTTCAGGCAGAACCAGCTCCCCAACGCAGGCCCCTCGTGAGTTACCCCCATCCCCACCCCCAGCAGCTGAGCCTGTGCCCTCGGGGCCCTCCCTGGATGTCAGGCTTGCTGGGGGAGGAGATGCAGATGGGGCAGCAGAGAATGGGGTCCTTGTGCTGCTATCATCAAACCCAAGGCTGGATGAACACAGCTTTGTCTGCACCCACACTCCCATGGTGACCATGGGACCAGGGATCAGCGCCTGGGGCTGGGGGCGCTTCAGAACAAGAGTGGCCGCTTTTTGGCCTCAGTTAACCCTTGAGTGGGTGTTAAATGCATAGACTTCCCCCAGCTCTGTGCCTGGGGGCCGGAGTGGGGGTGGGGCCTGCAGGAGAAGGGCAAAAATCGGTTTCCATCCTAAGGTTCAAAGCAATGTTGTTAAACCCAGTTTTTTCCAGATTTAAATAACTGCAGTCGCTGGGGGGCAATGAGGGGGTGGCCTGGGGTGGCAACTCTGAGACGGAACCTCCTTCCCACACCAGGCCCTGCTCGGAACAGAAGCCCAACATGGTGGCGCCTCAGTCCTCGCCTGGCTCTGGCATGTGCCTCACTTCTGGGGAGTTCTCCACAGGAGGAGGCCTCACGCTGGGTGTCCGCCCGCCAGGCCTTGGTCTCAGCCCCAACAGGGAGGCCAAGGAGATCCAACGGTGGTAGGAAAAGAGCCTGGAGACACTCTGCTGGGAGCCGCGAGGGCCTTGCAGTGACTTCAGAGCAAGCTGGGGTGGGGCCTGTCAGGAAGGGCTTCCTGGAGGCGGGAAGGGCAGGTGGAGGTGGGAGAGCCCGGTGAGGGGAGAGCCCGGTGAGGGGAGAGCCCGGTGAGGGCTATTTGCAGGCCTGATGGCTGGAGCTGCAGCAGTGGGCCTGGGCTAGGGTGTGGGGGTCCTCCCTGTGAGTGAGTGAGTCAGTGAGTGGTGTCCCCTCTTAGTGAACAATGGGTGCGGGTGATGAGGGGGCAGCAAGGAGGACAATGGGGGCCCCAGAAGCCCAGCTGCAGCAGCCCTGATCCAGCCCAGGCCTACTCCCGGGCAAGCGGCCTCAGGGGCCAAAGTGAGTGTTCCTGGTTTGATTCTCTTCTTTATAATTATCTGCATTTCTCAAATTTCCCTTTAGAAATTTATTTGTTTTGTAATCAGAGACAACAAAAACAATAAACGTTACCCCCAAACAATCTTCGGACCCAGAGAGCCCCACCCCCCAGCCGTGCTGCTGCGGAACCCTGGGGCACCCTGCTCCCTCTCCCGGCTGCCCTGGGAGTTCTCGGCCCTGGCTCCGTGCTCACGGTTCTCCCCGGGCCCATCAGCCCCACCCCTGCCCCGCAGACCCCTTGAGCAGTTGTAAGCCCTGGGGTGCCTCAGTTCATCCTGTCCCTCCCCCAGGCCCGATGAAGGCCACCAGCTGGACTCAGGGCAGTGTGGTCTGCCCAGCTCTAGCCCCTCAGTCCACAGCATCCAGGGTAAATACAGGCCAGCACCCCAGAAGTCCTTCCCACCCCCAAAAGCTGCGGTGCGGTGGAGCCCTTGTCTCCTGAACACCCACAGTTAGACCCCTGCCCACTAGAGGCCCACAGCCCTGCACATGCCAAGGCCAAGGGTGCCAGGCATACGGGGCCCAGCCCAGTTTCTGCTTCCCCTGTTGGATAATTTACATTGTGAATAAACCAGAGGTCCAAGGCTCAAAAGGTTTGTGTGGCACACCAGCCACAGAAACGGCTCGTCTGCTCCGTCCATCTCACTGCTCAAGGACGGGTTACGTCCAGCCCGAGCCAGCACTGCCCCCCATGTCATGCACAGGAGGTTGGCCCCTGAACCCCGCTGCCCAGCCACATGCGGCCCCAGTCTGCCCTTACGCCTGTGCCCAGTCCCCATCACACACCGTGCAAGGCCACGCCCAGGGCCCACACAACACCAGACACCCCCAGGGCCACCGTGTGACCTAGACCCCAAGGGACAGGTGCTGGGGCACTCCCTTGACCCCTCCTCCAGGTTCTGAGGGGCCACCCAGTGTCCCCAGGGCCCAAGTCCCCCCATGAGTTGGGAAGAGACCATTAACGTCCTGCAAGCTGTCTCGAGCCCAGCTGTGCCTGCATGCTTAGTGGGAGCTGCTGGGTCACCCACAGCCAAGCTGGAAATGTCTCCTCCATCTCCAGAGGCAGTGGGCTCCGGGGCTCAGATAGACCTAGGCCCAAACCCAGGTCTGCCAGGTACTGGCTGGGTGACCCGGGAAGGACACCTTATCTTCCCTGAGTCTGCCAAGTCCCCATGGTCACAGGGAAGACCCTCTTTGGATGGGCATTAGAGGAGCAGAACGGATGGTGAGGTGGCCCCCAAGCGAAATGGAGAAGCGTGGAGGTGAGTGTCCGTGGATGAGGGTTGCCCATGTTCTCATCTGCATCATTCCCCTTCATGGCCAGAACCACAGTCAGGGTCACCGAGGGGCCCCCTGGACCAGGCCCGCCTTCGTCTCCAGCCCAGATGGGGGTTGGTTTGAGTCTGGTGTTTTGGTTAAGGAGTTTGGTGACTTGCTCCCAGCTCTCAGGCCCCACACCCCACGTTTGTAAGCACGTGGCCAGGAGCAGTTCTGTCCCTGATTCTGTGATATTGTGGGAATCCCACTGGAGTGGGTTGCATGGTAGACCCAAAAGGCATGTCCCCCCAGGTCCTGTGAATGGGTCTTATTTGGAAAAAGTCTCTGCAGATGTAACTGAGGTAAGGATCTGAAAAGAGGTCATCCTGGATTAAGGTGGCCTGAAATCCAATGACAAGTGTCCTAATGAGAGGCAGGCAGAGGGAGATTTGGAAGGAAGGAGAAAAAGGCCATGTGAGCAGGGGACAGAATTTGGGTGATGCAGCCACAAGCCAAGGAGCGCCTGGAGCCCCCAGAAGCTGGAAGAGGAGGAAAGACCCTTCCCGAGAGCCTTCGGAAGGAATGCGGCCCTGCCCACACCTGGATTTTGAACTTCTAGCTTCTAAAACAGTGAGAGGAGACATTTCTGCTGTGTTAAGCCACCAGTGTGTGTGTGGTCATTGGTCACGGCAGCCCTGATCTAGCCCCATCCCAGATGTCCTCCATCTGCTTGGACAGATTTTAACCCAGGAGGCTGAAAGCAGCATTTGTAGGTGTGCATGCATGAGTGTGCATGTACGCATGCGAGCACACCCACACACGTGTGGGGCTACTCTCTCCGCACCCGTGGAAGTGCAGTGTGTGGGATGGCTCGCACACCCACCTGACAGATGGGGAAACTGATGCTCAGAGAGGTGGAGTGAGGTGTCAAGGTCAAGTTTCGAACAGCAGCGTCACTGGCTCCCCCAAAGGCTGACAGCACCACTCCCTATCCTTCCCCAACTCCAAGGGTGGGCTCCCCACTACGCTTCCCCTCTGCAGAGGTCTTGGTCGAGGTTCCCTTTCTAATTGTGCTACAACATCTGGACAGTAGAACGTACTCGTCTCTACTTATAGCTCTACATGCTTTCAGCCACGCGAACCGGCAGCCGGGTCAGCCAGACCGTGTCCTGTCCTCACAGGGTGCTCCTGGGCCGGCCCCGTCTTTGACCACATTACGTCGTAGGAACAGCCTCATTTGTTTATCCATTCTCCGACGAATGGACATTTGCGTCGTTTCTGGTTTGGGCTTCCTGAGCGGGGCCCCTCCTTCCACCAAAAAAGAAAAGTCCACCAGGTCCTATGACTGTGACCTTATTTGGAAAAAGGGTCTTTGCAATGACATTAGTTAACCAAA